GCCATCTGAGATTTTTTTTTTTATTTTATTTTTTTTTTGCCTGCTGCCACCGGAGGGGTGTCTTCCTACAGAAGGGACTTCAACTACTCCTCCGGCTTGCGAGCCCTGCAACCAGCCCCCAGCACCCCGCCAGCCCCTCCGAGCACCCAAACAAACTGCACACGCAGCGAACAGCAGCAACACAACCGGGCTCTGATTTGCCTCTGGAATTTTTCTTTTCTTTCCTTTTTTTTTTAAATGTGCGTGCTTGTGTTTGCTTTCTCTGACTTGCTTTGATTCCAGAGATCAGCTACAGATTGAGAAAAAAAAAAAAGAGAGAAAGAAGAAGAAGGAAAAACCCCCACATTTATAACTGTCCGCCTGGCGATTTTATCACTTTATTTTTGAGTAAAGAAGGAAGATTTGCGCTGTTGTTTCTGATTCATGTTTGGGATTCAGGAAAGCATCCAGCGGAGTGGGAGCAGCATGAAGGAAGAGCCCCTCGGCGCGGGGATGAACGCGGTGCGGACATGGATGCAGGGAGCCGGCGTCCTGGACGCCAGCACGGCCGCTCAGAGGTAGGCAGGACCCGCTCCGCGCCCGCGCCCCGCTCCGCGCCCCGGCGCGCACGTCGCCTGCAGCGCCGCTCCCCGCGGGCAGCGCCTTTCCCCCCGCACCAACAAAAAGCCGGCTCTGCAGCTCTGCTACCAGCAGTGAGTTTCGCGGAGATGTTGCCAGTTAAATACGTGTCCCTCTTGTCCCGAAGAAACGGATTTTTATTAAATAATAACATTAATAATGAAGGAAGCGGCGAGGTTTCGCTAGGTAGGAATAGGTGGGTTTTAATCTCTCTAGCTCCTTGTGTTCCCGCGGAGGAAGGACTTTTGAAAACTATGTTTGCTGCTGATTTAGTCTAAAGATCTCCCGATGACACTTCCCTCCTCCGATAAGCAGCGAGTTGAGCACGGATGTGTATCCAAAATATATTTCTCTACCCCGCTTTCTTATCCTCGTCAGGATCTGCTCTAGAAAGCTTTGCAAAACTCTCTTCTCCTCCGATAAGCAGGGAGTTTTGCAAAGCTTTCTCGAGGAGAAATTGAATTCGAAGCCCTTTCGTAAAACTAGTGCCACTTACCTTAGATATTAAAAAAAAAAAAAAAAAAAAGAAGAAGAAGAAATCCCATTTGGATTTGGCGAAGCTGTGCCCATCCCCGCTTTGTCTCTTCTTTCTCCTTCTCCCCGTCCTCTTCCCCGCCGACCAAAAAAAAAAAAAATAATTTAAAAAAATGCAAAAAGTCAAACAAGCCCTGGTGCTGGATTCGCAGCCTGAGCCCTGAGCCGGCATCAGCTAAGAAGTTTAATGTTGACATCTCCCGGTGTCTCCCTCCTCGCCCCGCACCCCTCCCTTTGGAGCCCTCTAAGGAAGGGAAAGTTTCTGCAGGGACAACCCTGAAATATTTCAAGTTGTCTCCTGGGCTGCTGTCGCGGTGTTTACCCACCGCTCTGGCGAGGGGAGGAAAGGCTCACAGGACTGAAACTGAAAGAAAAGCCACATGGGCGCTGGGGTGAC